GGTTAATGTTACATTAGTGGTTGATTGTTACATTAGTGGGTGATACAGGAGTGTGGCCCTCAGTGTTAAATCAAAATTTCACTTTGGCCCTCTGACTCACCCTTGGCCTAGAGGATGAACTATTATGGAAACTTATGATGTTAGTGTCACATACTTGTAAGCCAGTAGTTCAGTTATCAGAGAACACTGAAGAGAGTTGTCAAATATATATTTTTGGCATGTCCCATGGCAAAGCTACGTAACTGCTGTTATATTTTTGTGCAGTTATTGTTTTACCTTGGAACGGCCGCCGTATTAGCCAATATTATTAGGACTTTTGAAATTTAGCATATAAGTTAAGTGAGATATGAAAGAGAAAAATGTCACTCCTATTTTGTATAAAGAAAATGCTCAGCTTTGGGCAAAACATAAATTAGGTGAATAAAATCTTCATTGAAAAAAAACCCCTGGTTTCATTATGCTTTAATTTATATATTGTATATTTGTTAATCAATACTTTTAGCTAAGTATTATTGGTTAAAAAAGACAATATTTAATGAAAAAACAGTCAATATATCATTGACATATATTTGCATGTATTGTGTTTCTAAATGTAAGCCTGCCTGTTGTAACTACTGTAGGCTAGGTCTTTTGGTATTAGTCCTTATTCTGAATCTCTGGGATTCATGAGATATAGTTTCTACTAATTTATTTCCAATCAGTGTGCACTCCATAGTCCAATGAATATACTATACTTTAAATATAATCAAAATTTTACTTAGCATGATGATCTGGGTGATTTTGAATGAAAATCATACATATTCTATTTAACAATGCTGAGGTAAACTGGTTTGTGTAATTTTTGAATGACAGATCATTTAATAATTATAATTCTACTACTCAATCAGTTTTTATGAATATAACTATTGCAATTCCACAAGGATCAATATATCCATTATTCAGTTCATTTTCTAGTTCAGTGTTATGGAGTTCAATCAGATTTAAAATAAGAAAAAAGCCACAGATAAATCTAACAACATTGAAAATGAAAAAAAGTGACAGTATTTTATAAATGAATTGGGGAATAACCCTTAAAGGTTAAAAATAAAATTATGCGCATTGGGATCTTTAATACAAAAAGAGAACTCTGAAAATTGTACTCTGAAACTTACTGACAAAAATGAAAAAAAAAAATTGACATCAAATTCAAAATTAGAAATATTGCATCAATATAAAAATTCAAACAATCATTGTAGGAGGCAATGTCCTTGACTATGTTGAAGGATTACCTTAAAAAGATTGAAAAAAGCATCTTTTTATATTTAATTCGTCTTTTTTTTACTTGTTCATATTTGTGTATACTAGCGCTCTAAGAGATTATATAAGGTGCTATATTAAAAACCTATATTATTATTATTGTTTTTTATTATTATTATTATTATTGGACAGTATAGTTTGTAATAATGTACATTTTAAATTTGAATTTAAAAAAAATCTTAATTTATGTTAACTGTACCAGATATTATGCCTTATAAATGTGAAAAGCTATGTGCTTACTATCACATTTGATCCAACTCCTCTGACGCATTTAAAAAAAAATATGAATTTGGATGTAATTTGCGTAAAAATTGCAAATTGGATTAATCAGAATAAACCAACACTAGATATCAAGCAGATATGAGCCTGATTCTTTCCAAATTTGATGATGTTTATATCTTACTGGTGACTCTGTTGAAGTATTTTACCCTGATTTTCTAAAAATAGTCATTGACTGCATCTTTTTAAAAATTGAGATTTCTGTTTGACATGGGGTCTATAGGAATATGAATGTTCTATCCATTGAATTGAGCAGGTACCTAAACATATTGCCATAAATATGAAAATGTATACATAATGTTTTGCTTTAGTTATAAACCCTATGAAACTCAAACATTGTTTTTTTTATGCAGCCTTTGACATCAGGGGAGTAAACTGAACAATTGATTTTTTTTTTTTTCAAATACCTTGGGATCTCTTTTGATCCACAACACTTAGAACGATCTTCCAAGAGGTAGTGTTCACCATCACATATCCTTAAAATGTTTAACTACTAATTTAGTATTCTCTATTGACTTTTGCTTTTGTAATTAGGTAAATTGTAGTATCACTACCGTAAAACCTTGAATAGAAGCCCTGGGCCTCTTCTTTTTTTGCAAACTTCGGATGGGCTTCTTTGCAAGATGGGCTTCTTTTCGAGGCTACTTTTGCAAAGGAAAATGAGAGGCTTTTGTTAAAATGAATGCTGTAAATTTTGGGAATTTATTACTATAAAACAATAAATAGGGCCACTGTGACATCAATCTGTTTCATAGTTGTTTATTTATTAGGCTTTAAAAAGTTTAGTAATGTATATATACAGTATATGATTGAAGATAATTTTTATCTTAGTATGGCATTATTGTCTATTGAGTTTGTACAAGAGTTTCTTTGTTTGGTTTTTGGAGAAGTGACCATGTGACTATTTCTGTGTGATTTAACAGATTATGACCTAAGTTCTAAGTAGGACTTCTGTAAATCGTTAAATCGTTATTATTATTATTATTAAGTGAGGGAAGAAAGACTGCATTTTTGTGTATGACCATTACTAGTATTGGGTGTTTTACCTATAATAATTTGGATAGCTCTAGTTTTTAGTTTTTCTCATTGTTGGGCCATGATGGACAAACATCACTCAGGACTGTGGTACCCCAGCATTAGTCTGATAATAGCACATGTGGACTCTTACCATTTCGCTGACTGAAGCACCATTGTTTTCTTCAGAGTTCAAGATGCATTGCAAGTGTTATTGATGAGTGTCCCAAATTAGGTTAGATGATACAGTTATACTATATTTTTATATAATGTTTTCAATGTTACTGTTTTACGTAGTCTACAGCAATTGAATTTGCTTTTTGTTTATCTTGCCCGTTTGTATGTTTCTAAAATTGTTGGTGAAATAAATTAAATGAATTGAGTTTACTTTAAATTTAAGATTGTTAACAGAACTGAAGTTTCTACAATAAACTATAACTTTAAACTATTTTGAATTAAATAGCATTTCTGAGAAAAGTTGTTTTCATATGTTGACATTTGGTAGTATTGGGTATTGTCATTATGTAGTATCAATGTGGATTCAAGTGTAGAATGGAATGTCGTCCACATTGAACAGATTACCAATTGTCAAATCATCAACTTATTTCTATTGCCTTCACCTTCCCAACAAAGCATCATTTTTCTAAATAGAAAAAAAAAGATCTGACCCAATTTATCCTCTGATTTAATTCACATATGTAATTACTGCTCATAGTAGAGAGTGAAATATTCAGTTTGATTTTGAGGGTTTTTATCTATGAGGAAGCCGCAGTCTGTAGTTCCAAATCTATGGGTTGGCCACCCAAAATTGGATCACCAAACAGTCATGAGACTATTGAACTTTTCTTACAATTTAATTAATATGCTAAAATTTGTTGTAGTAAAGAGAGTGTATTCAAGTATCATAGACAAAATTTTACTTTATTTTGTTTACCCGTTAGTGTCTCATTTTGAGTATCTTTTTTTTTCACATTCCAGAAAGTGGGTCTTGGCAAATTAATAGCCTGGACGTTTGTTTGGTACAGCGGAAATGGCAGCATTATTTTGTTGCTGTTAATGTTGTCGCTGTTGTTGGTGTTGATGTGGCAGCTGCATCAGTGTCAGTGTTGTGGTTGCTTTCAATATTAATTAATTCATTTTTAAAATTGTAGGCCTATTGTACCAAGTTCTACAAAAAAAATTCTGCTCTGCTGTTCATTGGGGCATTAGCTTAATCAAATTCATCATAGCTATTGTTGATTTTGTAGTGGCAGCTGCATCAGTGTTAATGTTGTGGTTGCTTTCAATATTAATTAATTCCTTTTTAAAATTGTAGGCCTATTGTACTAAGTTCTACAAAAAAATTCTGCTCTGCTGTTCATTGGAGCATTTAGCTTAAACATACTTCATCATAGCTAAAAAATAATATATTGTTCATACCTGTATTTATTTTTTAAATCTATTCTGTCTTTGTACCGAAATAACATTTTCAGCGCTAAAACACGGATTTCCAAACTGGTTCAGTCTTAACAAAGACAAGAATACAATTGAAGAAACAAAATTTAAAATAATTTCTTAAAATATTGATAATACATAAATTTACATTGGAGAGTAATATGCATGGCAGAAAAAATAAAATGATGTAAGCTGTCTTATAAAGGATTTGAAATAGCTGTTTTAAAATTTAGAAGTGTCATTGATTTAAAGTTTATTTTAATATTATCTGGGAGGTTATTCCATAATTTAGTTGATCTGTAAACAGAAGTTCTTTTACCTTACATATTATTCCATGGATTTTCAATTAGAGTGGCGTTGAATAGCTTGGAGAATGGAGTAGTTGTAGTTTTGTGGGTAAGAAGATGCTTGCCTTCTAACTCCAAGGTTCTGGGTTCAATTCCTGTCACAATAACAGTAATTTTTTTTTCTCACAATCTATTCTCACAAAAACTCCCTAAGCCTCATAAGATGAGACTTGGTTTATGTACAGCATCTTGTATTTTGCATCTTAAAAAAGTGATTAGATTTGCCCTGTGCCTAAAGTAAGAAATAAAAAAGAAATTTATATTTTAAGGTGCCAAGAGCAAGATTGTAAGGCTGCAGGACTAATGGCGTTGGCTGCAGCTCTGAAAAAAAAAATCATTTTATTGCTGCCTTTGTAATTGTATGATGTTTTCAAACTATTGGTTGCCACCTGTAAGGCATGTAATGATTATGTGGTATTTAGCCATAGACCTATATAACTAGACTATTATTATTATGATTATTAATAAGGCCTATATGCCTGTAGTTACATATGTATATACAAAAAAAATCCTCGCCCTAATTTCCACAGTATACTGTGATTGGCCAGTATTAGTGTTTCTTTGCCTAATCATAAGACTTCATACCAGAAACTGTGTTTAATTGCAATATTTATATTTTATTGATCACAGGGAGCGAAGCAACGTCTAGAAAGAGTGAAAAATGTTGGTGTTTCTCAGGTACATATCCGTAAAATACGACGGCACGAGCCAGAATTTATGCCAGCTGAATTTGCATGGACAGGCCAACAAATCTACACTGAAGCAAATAAGGCTCTCCAAGAGTAAGAAATATCTTGTTTATTGCGATAAGACAATAGGAGTGTTAAGGCCTGTTTACACTATGACGATAACGATCAACAATAAATGCTAAAAATCAATTGTTCATATAGAAAATAAAATAATAAATTTTCACACTAGCACTATTCGATAACAATTTATCGTGTATACGATAAATAATTTCACAAATCAAATCAAATGACGTCATAATCATGGGAAAATGATAAAATCTTTATCGTTTTCCCATGATTATGACCTCATTCGATTTGATTTGTGAAATAATTTTTTTAACGCATACACGATAAATCATTCAAGTGTGAAAACTACTCTTATTTCTTTTATTTTTCTATATTAACAATTGCTTTTTACCTTTTTATCGTTGATCGTTATTGCCATAGTGTAGATGAAAGGCCTTCATCTAACTCGAGACCCCTCCAATTAAAGACCACCTCCAATTAAAGGCCACTTTTCTGTGGTTAAAAATTTACAAATGTCTCACATTTATTATTCTAACTCCTGCCCAAAATAGTCTTTAATTGGAGGGAGACCTATATATAATCAATATTATTATTTTTTCCAAGACATTAAATTGCGTTCTTAATTGATTTAATACGGAGGCCTAATTAATATCTCATAAACCATAGGTTAAAACAATAACATCATCAACATTTTCACAATGGTCTTCTCTCAGACCAAGAGTTTTTGCAAATTTGTTGCTTGGTGACATGAAGTGCATTATATGACTAACATATTATTGTTTTTTCATTTTACTACAAAAATTCAATTTATGTGCATACAGTATTTGTGGGCCAAAAATGTTTTCCTAATTTTCAATAAAATGCTAATATATTATTAAGTATAACGATTTAAATATTTTTATAAGTCAGTCGTGACGTCTTCATTTTCGTTTGCACATAACTTTCCTATCCCTGTTGAAGTTAATATATTGATCACTATGCAACTGGTCATCGCAACTTGGCAGTTTGATATAGGTCTAGCCTTAAAATATAATTACTATATAAAACAGGGTGACTAAAAAAAAGAATGGAAGCATTGGGAGGAGCCATTATTTTCTTCAAAAATATTTTAGGGAAATAATGGCTCCTTCGGCCTCTATTTTCTATAGGGTCCTCAGAACTTGACTATAATTGCATAGTATTGTTATTTTACTCTTACAGTAGCTGAACAGACAGTATATTTTTTACTTCTGTATAATTAAGATACCGTATAACACTAACACATTCCTATTCCAATCTAGAATTACACATTGCCTACTTAATTTATAGAAGCAAAACTATTCCCTGTTGGGCACCATTCACTATATTTCTTATTCTAGTTTTTGTGTTCTGAATAATGATCAAAGCTAGAAATGAATAAGATAAATAAAGCTATTAACAGAAGATAATTTAGCAGTAAAACCATCCCCACCGTTTTTCATAAACATCACGAAAGTCTGAAATTTGACTCTGTACAACTGGTACGACAAAGAAATGCACATGGATGCACTTACAACATAATATACATTTAAACCAATTACTGTCCCTGTCATTGATGGCAGTCAATTCTCTAATTTCAATGTTTGTTGTTCCAAATTAATATTATTAATTTAAGCAAATGTACAATAAAATATGTGAAAGATTCTTAGACAATGCAGATCAGCAAGACCCATGGTTAAGATACTTGACTTGTCCTACATTTATATTTTTGTTTTTCTCATTCTTGTGTATACAGGTCTCCTTCTAATTAAAGACCCCTTCAATTAAATGCCACCTTTCTGTGGTTCCCAAAATTAACAAATGCCTTTTTTCTTTATTATTCTAATTAACACGAGACTCTTTTTATTCCTTGTTTTGCGTACTTATTTTTCTAAAGATTATCGGAGCAGGGCGGAATAAAAATAAAAATAAAATTTTGTTTTCTTATTTAGCAAATAAAAATTTAAAAAATTAAAATTAAAAAATAAATAAATAAAAAAATAAAAAACAATTTTATTGGGGAATGTAAAATAGGATGGTTAAATGCTTCAAATTTATATAATTAGGAAGAAATATACATCTTATCTTTGGAGATTTCAAGGCAGCAGAGGGCGTAATATAAAAAAAAGAAAAACTTTTATTTTTTTCTGAAACTTCCACTTTTTCATGGCGGCGGGTGCGCTAATTGGCCAAAAATAAAATTTTATTTCTATTTGAAATCATCAATATTTGCAGTCAGCGGGGTTTGCTAAACAAGGTATAAAAAAAGTTTCGCCTAAAGACCAAACTAGCTAAAGACCATTTTAGGGACATGTATATTTAGATACCCCATTATTTGATTGATATATTTAATACCCCAATATTGAGTTAAATTTTAAATTGGTTGACTTTAATCAGAAGAAATACGTCTCTTTCCTTGTTTTGGTTGTTTTAAATTCATGGTAACTATGGTAATCTTCTTTCTTTGAAGTGTCTTGGAATTGTGCGCTTTTTAATTCATTTTACCAGTTGCTAAATTTATGTCAAGAACCTTGATTTTGGTTTTAACAACTAAACTACACTCCCTAAGCCTGTGCTGAGACTTTATTTATAGTGACTCGTTAAACCCTCGTAACTTGCCAGTTGTTGTTGAATGAAAATGAAATAAAAAATAAAGTGCCAGAAAGGATCTATAGTAACAGCACGTTTTTAGCATTAGACTCACCAGTTATTCCACCTCAAATAAGTTTGTCACTAGTTTGTAAGAATCTCTTTGCTTACATGGTAACAATAATATTGTAGATTTTTGGTTGTTAATGGGCAACCCAAAATTTGAGCAGTTTAATCTGGCCCATGAGAAAAACAATAATTTTTTTGTAATGTTTTAAATGATAGGTAATAATCATCTGATTTTTATTATTATCTGCATTGTTCCAAATCGTGCCTTAATTGCAAATTAATAATACAGAGGCTTAAATTTGATCCTTTGGGATACACAATTCACTGTTCTTATTCTTTTTTTCCTTCAGATTTTAATATATATATAATATTATAATTACTCTTTAGATCATAAGAAAAAATTGGCATTATAAATTGAAGAATATGAAAGCAATAAAGAAAAAAAAAGTATCACTGTCATCAACCTGCTCTCACCTTTGAAGTTACAGTAGTTTCAGTATCAGATAGTATTATAAAGGGATGGTCTAGTTAAGTATTTTAAAATGTCAATTTTGTTTATTTAAATTACATCGCTATTAATTGGAACACAATTATTATGCTACACTGTATTACAAAATATGCCCGTAGGCAGAAGAGCAACACAATGGCAGTGTTGCAATTGATCAAATCTCCACATTAAACCAAATTTTCACTAGTTTTCAAATGTCAGCATTGTTTACTTTTAATATTAATTGGAAAGAAAAAACTTAATAAGCTTTGTGAAGATAATAAGTCCTTGTTTTTCCAAAATAACACGTTTGAAGTGGTGATTCTTATTGAATTAAGTGTAATTACGAAGTCTCATGTTTTTTTAAACACAGTATTGCTGTTGATGTATATTTAAGTCATATTGACCGTGTCACAGCATTAGTTGGGGGAGGAACACTATCACGCATCGCGTGACAGTTATTCCTATGGTGAGTTAATAAGATTAAAAAAAGTATAGTCAGAATTTCAGTGATAAGAAGTACCCAAAATGGATGGATGAATGGATTTATTCGGTGTAAACACCAAGGAAAACCCACAAAAATCTAAAGAAGGCTTATTTCCAGTGGGGTCCTTCTGGTGGTGATTGGGCAGTTCACCGGGAGACAATCCCCTACTCTTTTCAAATAATGTACTGCGTTCTTTAATGTGCACACAGGCTATAATGCACATAGCTCAAACGTCTCATCCGAAAAGACGGTGCGCTAAGGTAACTTGCATTTCAGCCCTCCAGCTGAAAGACAAGGGGAGCAGCAATGGGAATTTAACCGGGGACCTAGAGATCTCCATGGTTCAGCTCACACACAGTGGCTACCACCAATTTAGCTAACTGAGCTAAGCTGCTCTCTTTTGGTAAGAAATGCAGTGTCTAGGATAATATCTTTAAAAAAGGCAATGGCTATGTCTCCAGTATAATCTGATTTGATGTCATTGTCCTAAACCAATCTATATCATCAGGTTTAAGACCAGTGTAATAATAGCCACCTTTAAAACAATAATTGCTCATGAAAGAATCAAATATATGTTACAAACTTGTGTTTTCAAAATTTTACTAGTAAAATATAACATCTGATTAAATTAGAATTGAAATTAGTATTATAAAGGTAAAGGCAAAAGGTAAATGTAGGAGAATAATGTAGGGTCATTGCATATGGGCGTGGTCTGTGATTACCTAGTCGCCGTAAAGAGGTACTTAGTAGCTTTATCATTCCACAACAAGGAGGCACAACAATGAACCACAGCACCCTTACTCTTTCAAAAGATGTAATTGGTACTTTTAAAGTGCACACAAACTATATGTGTATATTGGACCTCTATTTTAAGATATATAATAATACTAATATTAATATTAATAATAATAATAATAATAATAATAATATTAAATAGTAGTAATATTTGACAGAAATATAAGTAGACTCACATATTCTAGTGTCAAATATTCATACAATTTTCTTACTTTAATTGGATTAATTGTATCTTTCCTTTGTGCCTTTGGTCATTACATATGGCTATTTAGCTACAATAACTTTAATTAAGAATGTAATTGAATTCTGTAGAAAAATTGAAAATATTAAACATTTTGTGTGATGCATTGATAAGGAAAATTGCTGCTACTTGAATTATGATTTTGGTAGTGGTAAGTAGTTCTGTTTAATGTGGTGGTTATAGTAGGCAACACAATCCAAGTGTTGTAGGTCCTCGGATGTAAGCACATCTTAGGTATAAACCCACTTCCTAATTTATGCCCAGTTTTATTTACCATGGTTTTCCTGAGTAAGAGCCCAGGTTATCATTCAAAGGAGAAACTTGTCTGTCTGTATTTTGTAACTGGCATCTTGATTGTTCAT